CCCACCTCCCCTCCTCTCTCGTTTCTCGCCGCCCCTCCCCAAAGACCTGCCACTGTTTGCTGCCGCGCTGGTCTGAACTTTCCAGGTGGAAAGAAGGAGGAAGCCCGCGTGAGTGTCACATTTTGTCGGGCGCCGCGACGGCAGCGAGGACAAATGGGCAGCACGGCGGCGCACGACCTCCACGACTACTGCTGCCGGCCGCCGGTCCACTGCACTCGCCCGAGGGGGACGGGGGTTGTTTGTAATGGAGACCATTATATCCATTTACTACTACTAGGAAGGCGGGGAATCCGTTTTCATCGTGTGCACAGATGCATGCATGGCATTGCATGGCAAAATACACAAATGTTCAACAACACGTTCCCTGCGGCTAATTTTTGGTACCTATGATTTAGTATGGGAGCGTTACCACATAGTGGTCACGCCGCAAGGAACGTGATAAAATGCTCAAATGCTCTAGATGACAGGAGGAAATCCGAAAAAAATTCACTCCACAAGACACACACAAAAATCTTGCACACTGCGTTACGCTTTTAATGTTAAAACACGGGCGGCTGTGCTTTTCGAGACAACATGCACAACGGGGCAGAGGGACTTGAGCCCGCCGGGCGCCGAGGGCCGAGGCGTCCTAGCGGAAGGGCAAGAGCCACCACTGGGCAGCGCGCGCAGGAGAGGCGGGAGGAGGGGGGTAATGCGAGAATGAATATGGAAACATGCGGACGGCTAAAACCACCACCTGGGAGCTGCGCTCCGAAACGGAAACCGAGGCATGCCTGTCGCTTAGTGGGATAGAGTAACACGTTTCCCGTGCGAGCGAGGCCCCGTAGTGGGTAGAGTAACGCGTTAGTGTGGGTGCTGGGGAGGCCCGGGGAGGCCTCGGAGCCCGCTTGCATTCCGTGGGTCGGCCCCGCGGGGCCCCGGGGCCGGACCGCTGGGCGCCAAACTCAACATCGTCCTCCCCACCCACATCTCTGCGAGGTGGTGCGGCAGGGGACGTTTATGCTGCGCCCTTCGTTCCGTTCGATGCCCCACCCCCCTCCTCTCCCCGGGTCCATATTGCCGCACGCCGCCTCCCCCCTTCCCACGAGCTCCAACCGTGTCTATATTGCCGGACACGAACACAGCCCGCGGTGCTCTGCGGGATTGTTTTATATTCAGCGGCCGCAGTTGCAATACAAGGCGTTGTGGGCTGCAGTATTGGGGGCTTTGGGGTTGCCGGTCAGAGCGAGGTGGCGGCGGGCGGTGGTGGGAGCGGGCGCGCGGGGGCGTTACACGAATGGCTAGCAGCTCTATCCCGCCGGGAGCGCATAAATCAACAACGGACAGAAAGAAATCGTCTGCGCGCCGTGACAGGAGAGGCGCGGCGACCAAACCAAATTGGTTCCCAACCTGTTAGAGCAGCGACACACAGAGAGAGGGAGGGGGGTTGTGGACATGCCCTATTTTCTTCTCCTACACGATTAATTTTTTTGTCGACGACCGCGTTTTAACCAAGGCTGAATTCTGATGTAGCGACATAAAGAAGGGGATCTAAAACGTTGCAGAAAGAAGTACAAATAGATACAAAAAAAGTAAGTGTTTTACGCATTTGTGTGATAATCATAACATTCCTTCCGACAGTAATTTTCTTAGTGTATGTTATAGCAAAAGCGTTCTCTTCCAGACTGAAGGCTAAGTTGCCAGACGCGTACAAAGGTCTCCTTTAGAATTAAGTTTGAGGCATGGCCAGCGGGTTTAGCGAGTACCTCCCCCTCCTCCCCGTCGGTCGCACCCGCCCCGACTGCGCTCTGCGCTACTGCTGCTGCTGCTGCTGCTGTTGCTGCCGGGCGGACGGGCGCGCGACGGACGGACGCGACGAGACACGGAACGACAATTTCCTGAACGACCCGCACTTTGTCTCAAGGAATTGGAGGGGGTAAGAACTGGGCGAGGCAGAGTGGAGGAGTGGGAGGAGGTGAGTGGGGGGAGGAAGGGAAACAAGGGAAGCGTGTCTAAGGGCAGGGGCGTAAGGCGAGAGGATGCCCTATCACGAGGAGCTGCTGCCGTCGGTTCAAAATGCAACAATTAGTTTTTGCTGGATAATAATGTGCCTTTCACCTTTACCAATACTAAAAGAAAGAAAAACTTTCAGTTTTTGGTTGTTTAAGCACGCGCTCTGATACGCTTTTGAATGATTGTGGAAAGCGAAGTAGAGTAGAGCAAAGGCAAAAGAGCGAAAGGGGCTTGCCAGAGCTTGTGCAGCAGGGTATAAGACGCTCCCGGGCGGCCCGAAGGTCCCCAGCCTTTTCACCGCAAGAGGAGTCGAATCGTCGCTGCCCAGCTCTATCAAACTCTAATCGGGCGACAGGCAGCATCAATCCGAGAGCCGAGCCGGGCGCCGCTCTGTGTTCTTTATCCTAACGCCCGACCTTCTTGTCAAACTGATTGTCGGGAATTAGGTTCCTGGGATATGCAAATCGACAGGGGGTTGGGGGGCGAGTGGGGGTCGCGGGGCGTGGTGGGGTGGGGCGGGCCCCGGGGCCGCGCGCGCTGCTGGCTGCGGCGGCCGGAGTTAGGGCGACCCTCCTCGAAATCGCTTTCTTACCCCCGGACCGGAGGAGAAGGGGTAGAGGAAGGGGGTGGTAATGAGATACACGGGGGCTGCGCGCCTGCTGCTGCTGCCGCCCGCTCACACGCCGTCCCTTTGGCGCATCCGAATATCCAGCCAACACACACGTGCCCTGTCCATTCGAAATACTGGCCACATTGAAACATGCCGTTTTACTATGCATGAGCACAAATAGTTGCATTCGATTCACTTTAAAAAAAAAGTTGGTGTTATGCAAACCACAAACATTTTTATCTCTGTTTTTTTTTTTTTTACTGGTATTCCTTAGAGGCCTTGTGACCCTGCACGCCAAACGTAGAAGGCCCCGCCCCTCATGCCACTGCGCCACGGCCGGGGCCATGCCACAGCCAGGGTTGTTAACGTTAATTTAACGGGTAACGACGTTACGACGTTTTCGTTAACGTTATTTTAACGTTAACGTAAGACGTTAATTTTTTGGCAGCTAGGGAAACGTAACGCGTTTGCGTTAACCGGGTCCCATAACGTCGTAACGACGTTGACGTTAAAACAACTTTCGCGTGCACCTAGATTTGGGCAGCTGGTCAGCGAATTTTGTAGTTTTACGTGAGATGCAGTACAAGCGCGACGAGCAAACGAAGAAAGCCGAGCGCCTAGTTGTACTAAAACTAAAACTTTGATAATAAAAGCAATTTTTTTATAATATTTCTCATCTTTAAACAGCCCTCTGCTCTTAATTTTCAATACTTTACATTCTTTTTATTATTTTGCATCAACGTCAACGACGTTAGGACGTTTAACGAAACGTAACGCGTTAATTTTGTTACAACTGGCGAAACGTAACGCGTTTACGTTAATTCAAATCTCAAATTAACGAAACGTAACGCGTTAAATTTCATTTTTAACGTTAACAACCCTGGCCACAGCCCTACTGAGAGTCACCCAAGGGTAATTGCAGGTTAGGAGGCTGTGGGGAAGGCAG